TCATCAGGCAACAGTCATAATTGACAAACTTTACGAATTGGCTGTGTCAAGTTTTGGCTGGTTAACAACACATTTATATTAACGTGATCTAACCCACTCGTCGGCATAGACCTGATCCCTGATCCTGACTCACCCACCTACTCTACCTGGTCCTGACTCACCCACCTACTCTACCTGGTCCTGACTCACCCACCTACTCTACCTGATCCTGACTCACCCACCTACTCTACCTGGTCCTGACTCACCCACCTACTCTAACTGGTCCTGGATCACTCACTACTCTCTTCTACCCCCGCCCCCCTTCACTGGAATAAACTCCCCATCAACATTAAGCAATGATCTTCGCTCACTCGTTTCTTCTCCTCCTCCTCCAAAACTCACGCATTGTTCCCTAGCTCACGCACGACTCCTTACTCTTCCCCTCATAACCACCACCATTCCTGCTTCCTCTTCATATTCTCATGACAAGGCTCCCCGCTCATTCCCTCATTCATTCAATAAATTAATTCATTCAAAACATTCATTCATGAATCATTATTCGCCGTCATCAATTTGCCTTAACATAATTCACGCAATCATCACAGATTTGCTCATAGCTTCCTCTCATCTTTTTGTATTCACCTCATCTCCACCATTGCATTCATATGGACCATTCCTAATTTTCCATACAGCGCTATATAAATTTAATTCATACAAAATAAGCTTCTTGCTCCTGGCCCTGCTGGTTACCACTCATTGTCCGGCATCCCTGCCTACTGCTCAGGTTTCTCAGTTTTTGCAAAAAGCTTCATAATAGCGGCAACAGCCTTTCTGGAACTGGAACCGTGCCGGCCCAAACAATAAATAACAGAGCTTCGAGGGAACAATGAAATGTAAAAATGCGTATTGTAGATGGTCAATATTTTGTGCACACTTTTGCTGTGCACACTGATTAATGCAGTGCTCAATGAACCTGGTTTCCCGAGTTTAATTCCCAGTCACAAATCATTTCAGGGGTGACTGATGTCTGAACCTGCACCAACGTGCACCGACCAGTGGGGTGAAACGTGGCCACGCAACTCCCATGTGTGGTGAAACGAGGTCAAGACAGCATTGGGAGCCCTTCATCAATGAACATATCAAGCTTGATCCAATGTCATTTCGTTTTCTGGAGAATTTGCAATTGTGACTGTTTTATAATGGAGATGTAAGATGGTCTGAACCGAGTCCCAGTTTTCCTAGGACCATTGACTTCTCGTTTAGATTTCACATAAAGCGCTTGCCACAAAATAACCTAGATACCGCGCTGATCTCATCAAGAAGCATAAAGCATCATCACACAAATTCCGGTCATCCTCACAGCAGCAGCTTTTGGTTAAATGTCTAACAAAGATGGTCAGCGCATCGTGCTTCCAGATGCACTTCTGCGGTCATCCCGAACACCTTAGGATGTTTCTGTTTAGTTTATTGTCCTACCCCCACACCTCCAATTAGTACAGTTGGCTATGTATGGTGCAAAATAATTTAAACATATATACACATTGGTTAGGTACTACCTTACCAACACTTACTTCACCTGGAATGGTACTTTCAACAAAAAAATGAAGGTACCCCCATGGGTTCCCCCTTATCACCAGTGATAGCGAATGTTTTCATGGAGAGATTTGAAACTGATGCCATGCAGACATCCACCCTACGTCCTTCCTTGTAGAAGAGATGTATAGATGACACTTTCATCATTTGGCCACATGGCCTGCCAGCATTGAACCAATTTCTCAAACACATCAATTCCATACACCCATCCATCAATTCCACCATGGAAGTGGAGAAGGATGGTAAGCTACTATTCCTGGATGTTTTGTTTGAGAAGAGGCCTGACAGCTCGTTTGGACATTCTGTCTACAGGAAAGCCACCCACACAGATTCCTATCTAAAACCTGATTCCCACCACCATCCTGCCCAGAAGAATTCCCTCATCAAAACACTACACCATAGGGCCCACTGCATCTCCGACCAACACCACCTAGCCAGTGAACAGGAACACGTACACCAAGCCCTCAAGATGAATGGGTACTCGGACTGCATTATTCGCAAAGCTGTTTCTCCAACCATGGAGAAACAATCTCCTGAGAAGCCAATGAAAACCATCACTTTACCATACATAGCAGGTGTTACCAATTTTTTTTTTCCAAAATCTTAAACAAACACAAGATCCAGGTCCGATTCAATACAGTACACAAAATCCGTGATCTAATCCCATCTGTGAAGGAGGTCATTCCTGACATGCAATACCCTGGAGTCTACAAACGGAGTTTGCTAGACAGACAGGCACACTCCCGTACAACATTGTTCCAAGACATTTTGTTAATTGCATAATCTTACCAATGAATTCATTGAGATCTACTTTTGCTTTCAGGACATGTTTCTTTATTGCTGTTTGTATGAATATTTTCACATTAATTTTTAAGGACGTTTTCCTTTCGCCGTGTATGCTCGCTTTACTCTAAGGAATTAACTGATTGTTCTGTTACCCAGTTTAACAAACGTAATCATTGAGGGTTAAATGTACGGATCAATGAGGAGGACATTTCCAGGAGTACTGTGTTGACATTCCTAGCATAAGAGTTCGAATATTAGAGTGTTATGTTTTTGTTTAGAGATTGAAGTTGCTTAACACAGAAGAGTCTGAGTGGTGCCTTCCTAAGTTCATGCATAATAATCTTAATCATTAAAAGTTATAGCAAGAATCATTGTATTATCCTGATTGATAATACAACCTTAGACAACGAAGCCGAGCTTAATCAGCATACTTACATTGCACTTGAATAACTTGATACATTTCGATTTAAAGCTTTCGTGACTGCAGGGATTCACCTTCTTGGTTCTTTCGGTAAAGTCACGTAGAAGGGATGTACAAGTACACAGACTGTCGTAATTCAAAACCATTAGTTAATCCTCTACTGGATGAAGGCATGGACATTGCTTGACCATACTTTTTCATGCTGGAGGAGCTAGCAACAGTTCAGATACTGATATTTACCATAGCACAACACCCTAAATACGGTGCCCACTTCTCCAACCTAACAAGTGAGGCTTAAACAAAAATCCCTTGTAACCGTTTTTGAACAGCCAGTCGTCAGAGCAAGTGCTCTCAATGAGCAGCCATTTAAAGGGTCGCACCGCTCACAATGGAGTTGGTAAGGCCACTCCCGGAACCAGCCACTTTTTTTCCCTCCCCAGTGCTATACGTATGTAAGTGCACCGTACGTAGCCAATCATGCTGTATCGGAGGTGCTGGAGAAAGACAGATGCTGATGTTTAAACATTTCAGCAGGTGGTCATTTAAGGTACAGGCGAGTAAAACAAGGCCCAGAACTGAACTTAAGTTGTTGGGTGTACGATGACAACTTTGAACTCTTTAGAAAAATACCGCGTACAAAATGGTTGTTACTGGCAGGTCAGAAAGTTAGGACACAGTTTAGAAATTAAAATTACTGATACAGGTTAGTTTGGGTGGATGGGTGCCTGGACATGTTACCAGACGAGACCACCCAATTGTCTCCAAAATGCATTGCACCCATTTATGACGGGGAGACAGATGGATTTGCTCAAACATTTGGTACAAAACAACAATCACAACCACTCATGTTCCAATAAAAATGTATGAACTCACCGCTGACGGTCTTTGCTTTTCCTTGTAGAGTTTTACTGAACAGTTTTCCTGAATAGGTGGTGATATTGACTAAGTATTCAGTGTTCAGCTCCAGACGTCCAAGCATGGCAAATGTTAAATTTGTTCTTCCATTTCCTCGAGGCTCCGTAATTATTTCATTAAAATACATGGTAATGACATCGAGACTGTTGTTGAAGATGCCTATGGACTGCAATAGATCATTGTCGTTGATCACTTGCAGGAACAGCATGCTCCATACACCGTCGGGAAGAGACCAACTGCAGGATATATTCTCCGTGGAATATGGGAAGCAAGAAAAGTCTCTGACAGATGTTGGATCTGGGGGAAAAAGGTTGGTGAATGGGGTAGTTTGGGGGGGGATGAAGGATTGCTGAAGATGAAACTTACTGCTGATATTATCAATGAAGATTAATCAAACCCATTTGATTCATAACACAGTCGCAAAAAAATTGAGACATTGCAGGGGCTCAGTTATGAGCATGTGCGTGCATGTGAAACACAGTTGGTGCCTAAAATTGTCGACTACATTGGCAATGCGTCCGTGCCAACATTGGCCCTGATTCCCCTCGGTGCTCCTCTATATTTATTATCATGCGTTTAGAGTATTTGGCTGCTATAAGTTTCCACATGATGATAAACCACTTCGTTTATCTATCAATTATGATCGCCAGGCCGCTTCTGAAAAGAACTACATAGCTCAGTGGGCCTTACCTGGTACAATTAAACTAGTTTATCGTTGTGCGTGCCGAGGTAACATCTCTGTATGATGATAGATAGCCGGGCCTTTTATCGTGTGGCAACCTGGCTGTTGAGTTCACATCCCCTGGACGTTCACTATACTGACTCCCTATCTTTATTTAAATCGTGCATTAATATGCACTTATTTTAAACGAAATTTGCTATTCCTTCAATATTTTAGTTTGAGGTTTGATTTTATTGGGTTGAGCCTGCACGTGTGTGTTGTTTGTACATCGCCTTCTGACCTAGGAGCAAGGCGCGTTAGCAGTGTAAATTAATATTATTAAATCATTATTACCAGGCTCATAGATTACGTCTGCCTACTTTAAAACAGCCCAAATCACATCCTTACGTGTTTTTGACCTACTTATACCAAAAGAGAATACTGGCCTGTCAATATGACCAGTGTGAATCGTGTATGTCTATTTTAAAAACAGGGCCAATGGCAGCATTACATGGTGGTGAAACATTTTCCATACCAAATAATGTAATACAGTATATTATACGCAATGTACTTGTGGTATATAGTAGCATACACACTACTGTTTAAATTAATATAGTCCGATCAACAGACTGTATAGGTACTTACAAGTTCTGTCCATTACCACATCTGACCAATATGAGACAGACCCATCGGAAGCCTGCACAGACACGGAGTAGTTCATTCCAGGAACCAGGCCAGTAAATGTTGACGAGTTTGTGTAAATTGGGAATGTTGTAACCAAGTTTCCACTCGCAGTCTCTCTCAAGTAGGCCCAGTAGGAGAACGAGTCTGGGAGATAAGTCGTTCCTGAGACTGTCATGGTCGTGGTAGTCTTGCTAGTGATGGTTAAAACGATGTAACTTGACACTGAAATGGTCACATGCAAGCACGACATTTTAATAGCATGTTGGAGTTATTTTACAATAGTTAAAGCGAATAATGAGAAAGACCAATAGCAAACAATGTCAGCATCATGTGGTGGTGAAACGTTTTGAATACTAAATAAAGTAATACAACGTGTAATATATGCAATGCACTTGCAATATGTCGTAGCATACACTGATTACTGTCTATATTAATCTAGTCTGAACAATTGACCACAACGGAACTTACAGGTTCTGTCCATTACCACATCTGACCAATATGAGACAGACCCATCGGAAGCCTGCACAGATACAGAGTAGTTCCTTCCAGGAACCAAGCCAGTAAATGTTGTCACGTTTGAGTAAATCTGGAATGTTGTAACCAAGTTTCCACTCGCAGTCTCTCTCAAGTAGGCCCAGTAGGAGAACGAGTCTGGGAGATAAGTCGTTCCTGAGACTGTCATGGTCGTGGTAGTCTTCCTCGTGATGGTTAAAACGATGTAACTTGACACTGAAATGGCCACATGCAAGCAAGTCATTTTAATGGCATGTTTTAGTTATTTTACAATGGTTAACGCGAATCATGAGAAAGACCAATTGCAAACAATGGCAGCATCATGTGGTGAAACGTTTTGAATACTAAATAAAGTAATACAACGTGTAATATATGCAATGCACTTGTGATATATAGTAGCATACACATATTACTGTCTAAATTAATCTAGTCTGAACAATTGACCACAACGGAACTTACAGGTTCTGTCCATTACCACATCTGACCAATATGAGACAGACCCATCGGAAGCCTGCACAGATACAGAGTAGTTCCTTCCAGGAACCAAGCCAGTAAATGTTGTCACGTTTGAGTAAATCTGGAATGTTGTAACCAAGTTTCCACTCGCAGTCTCTCTCAAGTAGGCCCAGTAGGAGAACGAGTCTGGGAGATAAGTCGTTCCTGAGACTGTCATGGTCGTGGTAGTCTTCCTCGTGATGGTTAAAACGATGTAACTTGACACTGAAATGGCCACATGCAAGCAAGACATTTTAATGGCATGTGTGGGACAATAGGAATGGAACACTTTTAATTATTTCCTCGTGCAGCAATGGAGTAAAGTGTGGTTTTGTGAAGGTCCCTATGTGTTGTGCAGTACATAAATGCAGTGTGTACACCAGCATGTGATACTGAGTCGGGCCAGTAGGTGGCTGGCAGGGTTATTGAGTAACCAGACCTGAACACCAGTCGCGTGCTTAATGGTGACACGGTTGTGAAGTTTCTGTGTGTAACACACGTGCTGTTGCATTTTACAGGTAAAGAACCCAAATGTTGGTTTTGATGGTTATAGACATGTTCTAGTCTTTAAGCTTGGCTTTGAATTGGTAGATTGTGATATATTCAATAGGAGGGGGTTTAGGACTGTACACTGTAAAGGATGACATACTGTAGTTAACACTGGTAATTATTTAACCCTAATACTGTTTATTCTATAGCCATGCCCATGCACCCATAGTATGACTAATTGCAATGATATTAAGAATAGAACACATTTGCAATAGTAAGTTGTACAATGGTGACAAATACAGTACGTATACAGTACATATGCAGTGCAGATAATGGGTGTAAGATATCAGTATAAGTGGATGGTATGGATAGACATTCAGCTTAGGATTAAAGTATTATTCGAATAGTGAAGTTTAAAGGTTATGATTATAGACAAAGATAATTTATCAGCAGTGAAATGGATTTAAGGGAAACTGTTATTGAGTAACCTGAAACTATACACCAGTCACTTGGTTAATGGCGACTTGGTTGTGTTGTATATATGCCTTTTTCCAAAATTAATATTAAGACTAATTCGGCCAATATATACATATTTTTTTTATCAACCGCGGTGTAGCACGAGGCACAAACAAAAATTGTAACAACCCCCTCATGAGCAGCTGCCCCTCTTCACACTCGAGGCCAGAGAGCCGGAGAGGGAGGGGAGGGAGGGGAGGGAGCTCCGGGAGCTCCGGCAGTACATATGTAATGCGGGCGTAAATGGGCGGGGCGGATATGACGATCCGAGAGGGAGGAGTCAGGGTGACGTGGGGGAGAAGTTATAGCGGGGAGACAGGAAGCTATCTGGGGCAGTCGGGGGAGTGAAGGGTGGTGAACACGTTGGGTGGTCGCCGTGCCTCAGCCTGGTGGCTGAGGGGCTCATGACGGCGCCAGCCAGCGGGGTGGAAGAGAGAGTGGAGGATTGAGGTAGGAAATGGCGAGATAGCCATAGAGGCCACGAAGGGCTGACATTGGGAGGTGGCGAGATCGCCACGCACGGAGGAACAGGGAGCAGAGATGGAGCTGCTGGGGGAGCAGCCAGAGGGCTGTACCAAGAGCCTGCAGCGGAGCTGCAGGAGCGTGGAAGGCTACGGGAGCGAAGGCAGATGTGGGGCTGCCAGGGAGAGAGTCTCAGGAGGAGTGCCGTGTGGGAAGGAGAATGCGAACCCCAAATAAAGGACACGGAGTCAGCAAGAAGTGTCTGAGTCCTTTTATTACACTGGAGTCAGAAGTGAAACGGCATCTCAAAACACCTGAGAGAAAGAAGAAAAAAAATATTCCTGCTACATCATCCGACGACGACGACCTTCCTCAGACAGTGGACCTGCCTGCGATGGAAGAGGTGATCCGTTTTGGAACGAGTACGGGTCCGGGTGAGCAAGGTGTCGCCGCGTCGGTGGACCTGTCTGTGCCGGAGGACGCCAACTTACGATGGAGACAGATGGTGATGCAGATGGGGACCTTGAAAATCGTGCTGGCGCGACTGTGTGAGTTCACCACGCCGAGGACGACGTCGGGGAGGCCCGGTGGTGATCCGCAGGCCTCTGCCTTTCCTGCGCTGCCAGCGCCATCTGCCACGTGGCACGAAGACGCCATCTTGGGCGTGGCAGGGGAGAAAAGGCGGGAAGCCGCCATCTTGTCTTCACCGCGGCGGGAGGACGCCGCCATCTTCAACATCGCGGCGGAGAGGCAGCCTTGCGCTGCCATCTGGAGGTGCCACGGGGTGAGCAGCCTGCTGTGAGCTGCTGTTTTTCGAGGGGGTGCTGCGAGGAGAAGACGCCGATGCTGCAGCTGCTGGGGCGGGAGCTTCCCGTCCTGGCTCGGGTGCGTGACAACGGAGCCGTCAAGTCGCCGAACGAGTTCTGCGAGGCGTCTCAAGTTGCCACCCTGCCGTCCTCTTCTTGCTGCAGCCCCGGGCGAGTCATAACGATACGCACCCGGCCTTAACACACACCTCACTCATCTTTCGAGGGCCGGGGGGCTATTTTGGGTTTCTCTTATGACTCGATTGTGCGGAGCGCGGTTCGGACTGTGTGTATGTGTGTGTAATAACGATGAACGCGCTATCTGCTTGTTGCTTGGTGTCAATATAAGTGTGTGCGTGTGTTGAGAATGGACGGAGAGTCTGCTGTAGTTGCTGAGTGTCAAATTGTGTGTGTGGGCTGCTGCGTGGAGTTGTTATCTTGATGGTGAAGTTAATTATTAACTTGGGAGCGTCGGGTATCTTGCGCTGTATATTGTGGGTTACCTTGTGCGATGGGCTTAATTGGGAAAAAAAAATATATATATTTTTTTGGTGTATTGTGCTGCGAGGTGCTGTGTGCGATGCGATTGTTGCAAGAGAGAGAATAATTGTGTTGTTGCTGCAAAGTTACGACAGGATTAATGGTGTGTTGGTTGCCTGCAGATCTGCTTGCTATTGTGTTTAAATGTACGCGTGTGATCGCAATATGCTGATTGTATGTGCTGTTATACTGTTCTGTATGGTTATGGGGTGCGATGCAGTGGTTGATTATTGGAATTGGGATTGTTATTATATTGTGCGTACCTGTTGGAAATTGGTAACAAATTCGAGGGGGACCCAAAAATTTGGTTGTATGGTTGTTGTGCACACGAGATTGCGTGTATATTATAGAGGGGGACCATAAAATTTGGTTGTATGGGTGTTGTGCACACGAGATTGCGTGTATATTATAGAGGGGGACCCAAAAATTTGGTTGTATGGGTGTTGTGCACACGAGATTGCGTGTATATTATAGGGGTAATTGAGCTTTTTGAGAATGAGGGTGCGCGATGACGCCGTTGTGGGTGGTTTAGATGTTAATGCTAATGGGATCGTAAATTGGCGCCAAGTGGCGTCGCGTATTCGGTTGATCGCATGCAGCCACGAGTTGCTTTGCGAGTTGGGTTGTGTAACCAATGTGGTTGGTAAAATATTGGTTAAAAATTCCACGATATGACAGCTGTGCGCAGCAAGCTGGGGCTGTGCGTCTATCGTTGGTGGGGTTGTTATAACGTGACGGGGGATGCGTCTTGTGACCCCCAGCTAAGGGAAGCTGGGGTGCACTAATGGAGAAAACTGGCCACGTGTTCGCACGTTGGGCCGCCATTTTGCGCGCACGCGGGGTATGGCGACGATGCGCTTTGCGGAAAGGGCCGCCATTTTGAGTGCGCGCGAGAGATATTGCGCGAACGCGCTGGGCGAAGGGGGACGCCATTTTGAGCGTGCGGGAAAAACCGGGGTGGGGCAAATATTCCATCTGTTATGCCTGCCATTGTTGATTGGGTGATGCACGAGTTGTGGTCACATCGGGCTATGGCTGATGGCTGACCTGACAGCCCGGAGGCGAAACCTCCGTGGTATGTCTTAAACTAATGGGCCATGTGCTCATATGGCTCGGGGAGTCATGGTTCAGTTGTGCGGTGGCAGACTGAACCTGGTGTGCCGGGGGCTCACGGGATCTGGGTTAGGGTGTTATTGTCTCTATAAGAGAACATTGCCCCGTGGGGGGAGTACAGGGGGTCTGGCATTGCTGGGGGATGAACCTTCCCTGGGCTATAAAGCATCGGACTATACGAGGCTGGTGTGTGTCCATCTCTGATGGGATAGTAAGGGAGGAGCGTGGCCGAGTTGCTGCTCATCCCCGAAATTGCACTAGCTGAGAGTATGGTCAGTGGATGTTGCTGTGGGTTGACGACCACGGTGGGGGTTAGGGCGAGTTAAACATTACCGCTGGGGAGCGTGGCTCTCTCCACGCGAGGGTGTGCGATTAGGCGTTTTGTTGGGTTGCTGAGAGTGACCGTGGGTACATGCTGTGTACGTGCGATGTCTGTGCTGGTCCTCAAGGGAGGACTGCTGGTGGGTAAGAGCAGAAAATTTTGTTGTTGTTGTTGTCACGTGTAAATAATATTGTTGTTAAAATGTAAATACTGGGGCATCCATTGCGTTATTTTGGGTATTTATGGGGAGTTTTTTTTAAGCGGGCTGGATTTACATCATCTCCACTACCCTGAGGCCGGGTGGCTGTCGTGTACGACATGCGGATGTGCGTTGTTGTGCTGTGCCTCAGGGGATTGGATTCTCCTTCTCGTCACAGATTCTTCAGCTCCCGTCGCACTGGGTGTTACCTGGTGTGCTAGCTGGATGAGGACTTGAAGGAGCAATTGAGCACCGTTCGTCGTTCTGCTCTACCACTTGCTCTTTGACGTTGGACTTGAGCCGAGCGGATGGAACTGCAACATGGACACGCACTAAAACATCACATTTCTGGGTTGTGCGCGTTGGCCGTTCTTGCGTGTCAGTTGCCGTTTTTGTTCATTGTGCCATTCTTATTCTTGTTGTTGTTGTGCGGAGGACAGGCCGGTGTTCTGTTCCAGTTCCTGATACCTCCCCTTTCGTTGCTTGTGTTGTTGTTGTTATGATCTCCGTTGTGTCTGGGGGACTCCTGATTGTGATGCCTTCGCCCGCATTATTTTGTTCTGTTTCAGCCGAGGACGGCTGGGATTTTCTCTACGGGGGAGGGTAGTGTAATGCGGGCGTAAATGGGCGGGGCGGATATGACGATCCGAGAGGGAGGAGTCAGGGTGACGTGGGGGAGAAGTTATAGCGGGGAGACAGGAAGCTATCTGGGGCAGTCGGGGGAGTGAAGGGTGGTGAACACGTTGGGTGGTCGCCGTGCCTCAGCCTGGTGGCTGAG